CTGAGAGAAAAAAGTTTAAGAAACACTGCTCTAAGGCCCTATCATCCCTGTGATTTTCATTCTATTCTGCCAAAAAATTAAGCAGATGCAGCCACTGTCATTCTCTCCTAATTTACAGACTATGGATAAATCTTTTATTGACTCAAATCAAATCTTCCTCAAACTCAAATCATTAATGTGAACTGAATCAGGCCTTGTTCAGAACTGAACTGGAGCATAGCTGATCTGTACCCTCCAACACATATCCCACCCAAAAATGCACCGTGAAATGAACACGGAGGCAGGTTACCTCGATCACCCGGAGGTTCTCCGTGCTGCAGGCATATTTCTTGCATCTGCCACACAAGAGGACTCGATTGTTTATCCAGGGTTTTGGTTGTGCCAGTTTTTTCTTCACTTTCTGCATCTTTTGCAACGCACTTATCTGGGGTGGAGAGAGAAAGATGGAATTCAAGTCACAAGGCACCAACTTCTCTTGAGGGCCCAGGAATGTTGTCCTGGACCAACCTCCACTGCCCCCCCCCCATCCTGGCAATGAAGGGATGAACCTTGGCAGTAAGCAAAGTCAAAAGCCAGCAGGTTCAACCAGTCTGCATTTGACAGGCTTTTGCTCAGCTTTATCACAGAACTCTTGTTCTAAGGCACAGAATTTCTCCCCTAAGCCAAATGGGAAGTTAAAAAGTCCTCACCAAAAGAATGCTTACCTTCTGCACAAATTTCTTTTCATCCCAGCTCTGCACCACTTCAATAGCCTTGATCATCATTTCCTCTTAGCCTTGATCATCATTTCCTCTTAGCCTTGATCATCATTTCCTCTTTTTGTAAATTGTATCTCTCCTTCTCTTCAAGCTCTTTTTTGCTAGTCACAAGAATGCACTTGCTGTCTTTTGCTCTTCCACGACCTAGAGATGGCACATCACAGGTAGTCCTCGCTTAGCAACTGCAGTTGGGACTGGCAACTCCATCACTAAGCAAAGTGGTTGCTCAGTGGGAAATCACCTGACAGCGACTGTGCATTCTGCCTTGAAACTGACAAGACTCATCAGTTTCACACCTTCAGCTTTTGTTTGCCTCATAAGAATTTTACTTCAGCTTCCCTTTTCCCCCATTCCCTTCCTTGGTGCTGGGATAATTAGCAGGAACAGAATTAATGCTTGTATTTACATTCATTGGTGAGGAAGGGATTACAAGAGAGTAAGCAGGCACACAATGGGGAATACACATCGAAAGCAATGTGCTGGCACTGGCAGCCACAAGCATGCTATACAAACAGTCTGATGTATTCCCTGTTGTGTGCCTGATTAACTCTCTAGTAATCCCTTCCTCTCCAACCTCTCTGCTCTGCAAGGTGGAGGAGGGGAGAGAAACAGGACAATGCGTACTGACTGTGATGGCTGAGGGATGACTGTGAAGGTTGTAAATGGTCATAAATAATGATTGCTGAATGAGTGGTTGGTAAGTGAGGACTACCTGTACAAAGACTACAGCTACAATGCTAGACAATTTTTAAGTATCAATCATGTCTGGCTCTTCCTTGAATGAGGGGAAAAACATCACGAGGATTAGAGCACAATACATAGAATTTGCTGTCTCCTTTGCCCACAGTGCTGAATGTGGGTGACCCACTTGCCCTAAATCAGCATTACAACTGAGTTCATGATGTGCTGGGAAAAAAGGACCAAAAAACTGAAGACAAAGTTTCATAAATTGATTGCAGTATAAATCGAGAGGAGGGGGGGAGG